AACAGCACAGAGCTCTGGATAGTGACACACACACACACACACACACACACACAGCTCTATATTCTTCCCCCAGGTTACTCATTCAACAGTGGTTTTACCCTCTTTAGTTTTCCCTTTAGCTTGCTAGCACTCAGCTAGCATCACAGAGGCTGTAACCCTGCAGTCATTGATAGAAAACAGATCTTATTATTGATCCAGCAGGTTGGTTGTGTCTGATGGATTCATGGTGAACTCTGAACTTGGCATGTATTTTGGTGTGATAGAAGAAAGGTCAGGACTATCCTGACTACTGAAAGCTAAATGAAAGAGTAGGTCAGGTGACGTTGTTGCATAACTAAACATGAAACTGTTGTTTCCTGTTTCCGACTAACAGTCGATCTGTTTTCTTTAAAGCGTGACTGTGATCTTTATTGTTGTCGCTATGACCACGAAGGTCTCCTAATCTTAACCCAGCCGCTCTAAACTCACTCTACCTCTCCTGAACCATAGTGATGACCGTACATCATCAGTGATGTGACACATTGTGAGTTTACAAGGTTCAAACCGATGTTGTCTTCCTGCTGATGAAAAGCACTTCTATGTGTGGAGAGGGATGGACAAACCTGAGTATTCATGGTCTCCAGGGGATGACCACCATCCTGCCACTTGTACACGAGAATATTCAAATATAACACCCAGACTTCATTCAAAAGAAGCTTCCGTTTCCTAAGAAAGACATTTGGAATAACATCTGCTGGGTACTCTCTCACTCACAAGGGGATGAACCCTTGTGAGTCAACATCCTGGTTGTGTTTCCTGTTGGGACGTGTTGGTGAAAAACACTAAACATTCAAGGAGTCCCTCTCTAGTGAAAGTGTTAGTAAATGAGTGGTGGACTCCTGAGACCCCCCCGTCTGTCTTTAAAAGGAGTCCTGCTCTCTTCAGTACTAGGTCTATTTCTAGAGATAGAAATATCTCTGACAAAGAGCCTTAAGCTGTGTTGACATGCAAATACACACTCAGGTGGGTCATGTTTTATACCGAGTACTCTCATCTCTTCCTCCCTCTGCCCCATTATGGTAGAGGATTATCACTGTAGAAAGCAGCTGTTGCATAACAGCAAAACACACACACACACACACACACACACACACACACTCACTCATCATCTAGAGGAGGGATGGAGAGGGAAGGATCAGAGGAAAGGAAACTCTTTACATTCTAAACTATTTACAGCCTGACATTGACCAGTTTTCTGAGGCTGACATTGATATTTGAGAGTTAATGAAAATCTGATCATGATGCTGTGTATCAGCCTTATTGGACGACATGTTGGCCAATACAAGATATGACCATTATCTTGCTGATAAATCACTGGGGCTGTAGTTTATGAAGGACCACCATTTGTGTTTTCATGACCCACAAACAGCACAAGTCTTTTGCTGAACTACTGTTACTGGAAGCAGTTAGCAGCAAGATGACAAACGTGTTCAGAAAAGCTAGTTGTTGAAGCTAAGTGAATATGGAGGTGAATGGACTGGACCAGACAAAGCATGGCTATATAACACCAACACGGATTCAAGGATCCTTTATTGCCTTTATGCAGCACAGCGCATCTGCAATGCAGTCGTAGCTCATTTGTAACACAACAAACACATGACGAACTAAACAAAGACAGTTGAACATTCCTGTAGAGCATTTTTTTGTATTTGCATCATAAAGAATGTAAGACAATTCTCTGATCAGATAATATGGCCGACATCTTCACATTAAAAACTCAACATGAGGACAATATTGTCCATCTACTCTGACTGTGTTTGAGCACCAAGCATCATGACGTGAACACAGAGTCCTGCTCTCTGTCCTGCTGTCCCCCCGTCAAGTTCAGCTTGATGCTGGACCACGATGGATCCAGGTCTCTGTGAAGATGTGGACTCGACAGTCACCGACCTCCCGCTGCTTTCATCCATCTTATTATTCTGTGGTCGGTCATCAGACAGCCAGCAGCATGCTGGGTAGTGGAGTAGCCTCAGGTCCTAGCTGGGTTAGTTTAGCTTCCATCTGGGCTATCTACTATGGGTCAGTTTGGTGGTGTTTGGTCCGGCAGGTCTGGCTGGTTGGTCGGCCGTGGACGGTGATCTCAAACTCTGCTGCACTTCAGTCCCCACGTTTATTTTCAGATATTGATAAATATATATTCTGTCATATGCCATCAGTGATAAACACGATAAAAAAGCAACAAATAAAGACAAAAATGTAGCGACATTCATGGGAGCTACCAGCCGCAGCTGGACAGCTGCAACAAACCCCCCCACCACAAAGTGTACAAGATGAGAACAGATGAGCAGCACTGCTGCAAATGAGCCGGATATCCTGTTAACGGCGGCCACACTGAGCACACACTTCCTTTCTGTCTCATAATGACATGAACTGAAACCTTCTGGGATTGATGGCCATTATAGAAGGCACACTGACTGTAGAGAGAAGGGCTGCAGCAGCAATGCTCACATTTAGGTCAAATCAAGTAACACGAGTCCCCTCTGACCTTTTTCACTTCCTGCAAAGGACAAGAGACGAGAGGAATCACAACAACATAACACACCAGAACCTTGAAGGTCCTGTCTGAGGAGACATCAGAGCTTTGACACTTTCTGTGGCCTGCTGCAGCATGTGAAAGGGCTTTTTCTGTTTTAATTAATTTAGTATTTCATTTCATCTCATTTCAATCTATCTCATTGACTTTATTTGATCATCATTTACACTGGTTTGTATTGCTCATGTCATTTCCTTGCTCTTTAAATGGTCTCTGTATTTGACATGTAAATATAGCTGCCTTGTATATATGCCTTATCATTTACCCCTGGTGCATCTTGGGTAATGGGGTAACTGTTGAAAATAGAAAGCCAAAAGGCATTATGGGCTGGCTACAGTGCAGTCACTGAGACATGTGAAAGATGTAACGCATCCGAAATTTTTCCTCCTCCAAAGTCAGCCAGTGGTCTGTGGGAAGGTCTGAGCTACTTCAACACATCTCCCAGAAGTCATAGCACCCTGTGGGAGCGGTTCACTGATCGTTGATCAGTCCCACTATCCAGACTGAGAGCTGCCTGAATGTTAATCTAGCCAGCAGTTCTTGTAACTACACGAGCCATTCTTCTGACCCGGAGGACTGCAGGTCCTGAGGCTGCAGTCACAGACGGGTCCTAGTGTTCTTCATCCTAACTTGCTGAAGAAGTGACTGGTGTGTTGGCAACTGTAACTGTATGAGTGATGTCCTGAAGTAGGAGTTTGAACCACATGTGTATCTGTCTTTTATGTTTATTATAACAGTAACAGTTATACCAAATATGCTGAGGGCAATGCTTGATGGTATATTTTGACCGTCTCACAGTAATGATCCTTCTGCAGGTCCACCTACAGAAACCTGGTCAGGACTATTACTTCCTCCTGATAGTCATGTGTTTAGGTCATACAGATCAGATCTGTTCACAGTAACTCGGTGATAAACCACACAAATGTGTGAAACGACGAGTCAGTGTTGGTTTAATGTCACACAACGTGTGTGTGTGTGTGTGTGTGTGTGTGTGTGTGTGTGTGTGTGGGGAGAGAGGCTAAGCCCCGCCCTCGGTACAGCAGCAGAGTAGTGAATGCATGCTCAGGGTCTCCTTTACATGTAAGAGTTGTGCGTTAGTCACAGTAACACACTCCATGAAAGAAGAAAGTGAAGGATGAGGGAGCCAGTGAAGGGCTGCTGGGGGACTGAGTGACTTTGAACTAAGCAGCACTGCATCAGGGATCCATTGATCGAGTTAAACAGCTGATTCAGCATGGCAACGCCTGATCTATTCAATTAGTTTGGATGGAAATGTACATTTTGTTTTGGGTATTTGTAGTAATTAAGCAGTATTCATAACTTTGAAGGAAGGACTTGTTGTACCAGTAAGGTTTGTGGAAACTGTTCTCTCTGTTCATGTCATTTAGGGAACACATTTAATAAACAGAGCATTTCTAAAGGAAGACTGAAGAGAAGGAAAGGAGCTGCAGTATCATCAATCGTCATGGATACCATCCAACAGAGAGCTCACCTTTAACCTTTAGCTTGCTATCAGAGAATCCGGGAGGGGCACAGCTGTGTTCTTTACCCATCAGATACCACATATCCTTTTAGTACCTTCCATACTGCACTGCCCTTCCTGACATGATGGATTTCTTCTTCCATCGTCGTTTCCGCCGTCAGCAGAAAGGACAGAAGCATCCGGCTGGTCCTGCTCTTCAGACCAGTAAAGCCAGGAGGCGCTCTAGTGTCGGGCTGCCCTCTGCAGCATTAGTGCAGTCCAGACGCTCCTCTGTTGGCTTACCTCCAGTTTGTACTGACCAGCGCAGGCGCACCAGTGTTGGCTTACTGGTGGCCAGTGGACAGAGGAGACAGGTAGGATTAACAAACACAAGTGAAGCAGTGGGAGACTCTGGAAGAGGAGGATTTCAGTATAAAGCCTCTGGCTCAGCGCCCTACGTACATCGAGGGATGGCGATGCGACACCGACGTCCTAAAGTCAAATCTATTGAACCTCATTTACTTGGATCCTCGATGTTACTTGCAAGTGTAGTCCAGATGGGCAGAGGAGTAGAAGAACCGGATTCCCTCCCATGTTCCTGTTTGGAGTCCGATGGAAGGGAAGGGAGTGATGAAGAAGTGGAGAACACACCTGTAAACTTCAGCCCGACAACTCGGATGCACTTAACCCAGGCAGTCAATATGAAAAACATCACATCCCGCCCCTTGCTCCGCCCTCCTCGCTGTCTGAGACGAAAGTCCTCCCACCTACTTCCAGCCGACTCTGAGCTTCGATGTGGTGAATCAGGTTATGGAGTTCATGGTCGCTATAATCGCCGAAGCTCAAGTCAAGTTCACCGGACTTTAAATAAGCAGATCCAGACTGCAAGGACCAGCCCCAGTTTGGGTCAGCTGGCCTCAGCAGGTCTGAGCTCTGAGACACGTGTGTCCTCCTCTAAGTCTACACTCCATAAGAGCTGTTCGTCACCACTGGGGGGACCAGAGGAAACCATATACTATGATCCTTATCTGGAAACATGGGAGAACTTCCTGTCGTATGTAAAACAAACACAAACAAACAAACAAACAAACAAACTGTATTGGTTTTGTATCTGCAGGCTTCTTGCTTCTATACTTCCACAGATTTACTGCCTACTACTTCTAGTACTCCTTCTAGTGTGTCGAGGAATGTTCCTGCAACACGTACAGTCTCGAGAAGAACCTAGATGTTCTGACATTCCACCCATTTAAAGACCCTTTGTGGACAAACACCCACTAACATGTGTCTGTCCTCAGTGGGACAGGGACCAATGACTCTGCAGTAGAGATGGAAACATGACACCTGGGTGCACACGATGATTATCACCTCTCTTCCAGAGCGATGCTGTGACGTGTGTTGAAGTTAATATATAACACATAAAATCAACAGGGATTTGGACAAGTATTATAATTTATTAATGTACAAAACATACAATGTGCTACAGTAATTACAGTAACCACGATGACATTTTCACTTGACTAACCATGTTTCCACTGCCGGCTGGCACGACGTCTAGCACGACATCTGGCACGGCGTCTGGCACGGCGTCTAGCACAGGCACGGCGTCTGGCACGGCGTCTAGCACGGGCACGGCGTCTAGCACAACGTCTAGCACGGCATCTAGCACAGGCACGACGTCTAGCACGGGCATGGCGTCTAGCACGACGTCTAGCACGGTGTCTAGCACAACATCTAGCACGGCGTCTAGCACGGCGGCTAGCACGGGCACGGCGTCTAGCACGGCGTCTAGCACAGGCACGACGTCTAGCACGAGCACGGCGTCTAGCACGGGCACGGCATCTAGCAAGGCATCTAGCACGGCGTCTAGCACGGGCACGACGTCTAGCACAACATCTAGCAAGACATCTAGCACAGCGTCTAGCACGGGCACGGCGTCTAGCAAGGCATCTAGCACGGCGTCTAGCACGGGCACGACATCTAGCACAACATCTGGCAAGACGTCTAGCACGGGCACGACGTCTAGCAAGGCGTCTAGCACAGGCACGGCGTCGAGCATGGCGTCGAGCACGGGCACGGCGTCTAACACGACGTCTAGCAAGTCACAGGATGACAGTTATCTTGAAAACTAACTGTCATATCTGTTTGGGATGTTCTATTTGTGGCGCCCCTCTGACCTCTCCCTTAGCGTCCCCGTCAGACATACATGTCACTGTAACACACAGAGCTGGGTTATGATTGGTTAGGAAGGTCGAGCTCCCAAGGGGATGAACGTTTTAGATCTTCATGATTGGTTCTTTCATTCCTCTCGCCTGTTTAACAATGTTTGATCACATAATAAAAATGATCTAATTACATTCTGCATGTCAAAATGGAGGACATCCAAATGATTGATGAGAAGCTTTTTAACTGCGACTAGCGCTTGTGATATCATAACATGTTTCCATTATGCTGTCATATTCAGGTTGACAGCAGTCGTAAAAAGTGAAATGCTGCTTCATCTCGTCTTTATTTGTTTATTATGAGCTGGTCTTCATCTGTCTAAAGGAAGCTGCGTTATCTTTCTAGTTGTTCTCACAGTGTCTGTTTCACTGGTGTGGGATCAGTTTCCTTCCCTCTTCCTGATTGACTCATTGCTGCTTCAGATACATCTTTGAGATTCAGCCGTTGAATCATTGGAAACATTTGTCCAGTGTTCACATTTAGTTGTTGATTCAAATATGTGAAATTATAAAACAATCAAGCACCCGAAAATATAGCTTCACCCAGAGGGCGCCTGGGTGGACCTCCACAGTCCATGCCAGGTCGCTCATGTTTGTGTTAATGTGTGTCAGCACGGTGACCTGTCCAGATGTGCCCCCCCCCCTTTCACCCACTGTGTGCTGGTGCAGCATGCTGATATGAAGTCATATTACTTCTTCACCATCATTTCATGCTTTTATTTTGAAGGCCAAACTAGAGGTTATTATTTTCTGCTTGTTCTTATGGACCTTCTCTGTTGTTCTTCCTTTGCTGGGCATCATGACGAGCCTTTATGCTATCTCTGTCTCTGTCCCTGTCTCTCTCTCTTCATTCACTCTATAGCTTGCTCCACCACCTCTGCTCTCTCTCTCCCTCCCTCTCGTTAGCAGCTGATGAATGTGACGTGATATTTCACATGAGGTGCTACACATTAGAATATGAATTCAAATCTTTAGAATTTGAATCCGTTGACATTAGAGACATGAATGAGCTCCACAAAAGGACTTGGTGTTGAAATTGTGTCCCTAGTGTTTGATATGTTCGTGATGCCCGATCAGGAACATTTCAAACACGTTTTTAGCTTTCAGACTGTTTCAAATCTGTGTGACGTTGACAGGTTTTACCTTTTCTCGTTGTTTCTCCTTGTGTTTCCAGGAAAGCAATAGCTAAGTCCGGCCTGCACCATCTTCCCTGTCAGCCCAGCACATCGTCCCTGAACAGGAGCGACCCAGAGGCAGATATCCGCAGCACTCTGGACTGGACTGTGAGTCTGGGCTCTGATCCCTCACAGGACAACCCTCCCTCTAGTGCAGGGGTCTCAAACTCAAGGCCCTTTTTTTTTATTTTTTTTTTTAAGTTGGACTTGATAATAAAAATATCCCCGTAGTCATAATTATGAGATAGAAAGTCGAAGTTATGAGACAGAAAGTCAAAATTATGATAGAAAGTCAGAATTATGAGATAGAAAGTCATAATGATGAGATACTTAAACACACAGTCACAGAAGCAGCTCTTTGGCTGGTTACTGTACACTTGACATAGAAATGTATTGTGAGTACATTGAAGACTACTTTCAACGTGTCTTTAAAACACATGAAATACTTCATGTGGGATTGTGCAAATGCACCCTTGAAAGGATTTTAAGCATTGAACAAAGTTATTGTAATAACTTGTGTTTGATATTTGGCTTTGATATTTTCTTTAACAGTTTGATCTTTGATAGAGTAATGTGGGTTTGTTAACCCTAAATTAAAAGGATTTAAGTTAAAATAACAGAAATGTGCTTAAATATATTTTTACATTTATTTAACTGAATGTACAATATTTTAACACTTTAATAAACAATAATCAAATGCAGAGACAGTTATTTATCAATTTGTTAGGAGTAGTAACATTTACACCGTCTTACATTTACAACCGGCCCTTTGAGGGCAACCATGATGTTGATGTGGCCCAGATTGATAATGAGTTTGAGACCCCTGCTCTAGTGGGTTCTTCTATCTAACCCTATCGAGTCTATCTAGAGCATAATGTGCCAGGATCTTTGTGGATAAGCACAAACAGGGTGTTCAGTCAATGTTTCACATGGCCTCAAACAGCATCAGTGACTTACGGATGTAGTGAGCCAGCTGGTGTCCTTTGTTTGTCCCTGTAGGAGTCGGCTGTGTATGGAGAGCACATCTGGTTTGAGACTAATGTGTCTGGAGACTGCTGTTATGTGGGAGAGCAGCACTGCATTGCCAGAGCACTAGTGAGTAGCTCCTCCCTCTTTGTGTTCTCAATACCACGACTACAACTTCCATCCATTCATTAGATGGACCCAAGTGTGTTTCCCTTTAATTTATCACACTGAATCTTTACACGTCTCACTAGATATTCCTTCAGTGTCTGCACCAATGAAACTACTTCATCCAAGTTACAAACCAATCAGATGGAGGTAAATGCACTAGTGGTGGTCACATGAACAACAGCAACATGTAGTAGTTCTCTCTCGCTCAGCTGCTCTATGTGAATACTATTGTATCATCATCAGCATCAAGGAAACCATTCCATACCATTCTGCAAAAGGCTGAATAATGATGAGGTATTTTGGGTATTTTTGTCAGCTTGACCCACTTTGCACCCAGTTTCCCCCCCCTTATGATACAGCAGGTCAGACAGTGTCGATCCACTCCTGATGCTCACTGATTCATTCAGTGTGTGTCAAACACACTCGCATCATCTTCTCATTTTACTCATGTCAGCTCTCAGTCCAACATATGTTAGCCTGTCACATGGCACGTACACAAAGTGGTCGTATGTCCACATAATCCACGTCTCACCACTTAGACCAGTCTCTGCTGGACTGCTGGTCAGGACCATTTCACGTTCTGCAGCACAGGACTGCCCCCCAGTGGTCAGAGATGGTTACTGCCTCATATGTGGCTGTGTACATTACTGTTGGTCAAAGGACAGATGGTTTCACTTTTGGTCCTTCCTGAAGCTTATTTTCCTTTTCCATGTTTCATCTTCTCTTTCTTTCTCTTTCCAGCAAAAGTCTGTCAGTCGAAGGAAGTGTGCTGCGTGTAAGATAGTGGCCCACACCATCTGTATAGAACAACTGGAGAAGGTAATTCCTCTGTCTCATGTATTCAACGCACTTAACCAAGCGGATTGATCCAGGAAATGGAATGAGTTCACCGTATGAATCTACTTCATGGAGAGAAGAAACATAAAGACACAGGTGTCATCACAGACAGTTAAAGATTAAAGACGGATGTTTAAACCGTCTTTCACGCGGGACAAAAGGTGATGGAGGCAAGATTAAAGAAGGATTTAACTTTTAGTTCTCACAAAGAGTTTAAGATCGGAGAGAAGTGAAAAGGAGGATTACTTTAAACCCTCAGACATGATGGAAATCTAAGCTTCTATTTACTGATGTCATCAGAGGACAGCTTGTCTTTAACTGTTGCTCCTGTCTAACCTGCAGTTTCCCAGCTCTAGAGCCATTCTGTTGGACGCCACCCTGCCTCTCAATGAGCCCCACTTTAGAGTGAGACACACAAACCTCCTCCCGTCTCTCCTCTCTCCTCGTCTGTGGTGTCTGGACCTCCCTTCAGCCATTCTTAGTGAAGCCAGGTCACAGCATGATATGAGTCTTTATAGGTGGGGCAAATGTCTGAGGGGCTGCCACATAACCAGATACCGCTGCTACAGATATAGCATGTATTCAGGTTTGTGCAAAGAACGAATGGATTGCAATGTAATCCAGGTCAGACACACACCCTTTGGGAACTTCCACTTTGGTTCTGGCATGATGAAGGGGTCACTTTCTTTTCTCTCCATCTCCTCTACTTGTTGATCAGGGTGCATTAGTAAATGAGTTGATTTCAAAGGGATATGATACTAAGGCCTCTTTCTGAAGGCCTAACAGCATAGAGGGACCAGGACTGGTCACTGAGACAAAGTCCAGGTCCCTCTACTAGCCCCTGTCAAACACATCCACTGTCTTCATCAGCAGACATCAGTCACATGCCATCAGTATCTCTCTTTATTTATGAATCATCATCACTGTAATAATCACATCCATAGAATGTGACACATGGCACATTATGATCCTCACAATAAACCATATTAGACCAAATGTGAAAAGAGTCGGCACAGTACCAAGGACAGACAATAGACTAGAGACAGATCACAGTGCCGTCTCTCTACAGCTGCATTAGTGACCCATCATCAGAGTCCAGCTGTGATAACAGCAGCGCGTTGGTAGACCATGTCTGTGATGTGATGAATAGCTGCTGGTTCTGGTGACGGTTAAACTGGGCTCATTTTTAGCAGCAGAGCAGCCACCTGAAAGCAGCAACGATGTGAGTCTGTAAATGATGGAGCCATCAATGCTTCAACAAACAGAGACATCATCTTATCTCAGCCACATCTCTTGGTGTCATCAACTTTTATTTCTTCAAGCTGTCGCCTTTGTCTTGATATCAATAGTAGAGCACTAAGTCAATAGTGTCACTAATGTGACACTATTGACCAACGGATCCATTTTTCATTATGAGAAGGTCTGTGATATGCAAGGCTGAACCAGGAATGAAGCCGACTAATTCATGATGTTCAGCCTAGCCACAGAGTCTGCTGGTTCTCTCCCTGCTCTGGGTTTTCTTTTCTGAGCTCACTTCATGATGGGGAATCGTGGTGCCTTCCCACTTTCACTGCAGCAAAGTCACACATGTGTGAACCTCTTTGGCATTAGTGCTTCTTTCTCTGTTTTCCTGATCATTGGAGATGCTTCTGTTCTGGCGCTCCTAGAATAAGCCTCAGTTCATCTGTCCTCTCTACTCTTCCTCTGCTCTTTTCCAGATTAATTTCAGGTGTAAACCGTCTTTCAGAGAATCCGGCTCTAGGAACATCCGAGAGGTGAGTTTGAGCTGCTGCTGGAGCCGTTTTAGGATCAGGAACCATCAGGGAATAGATTAACATTGGCCATTGATTCAATGTTCTACAAAGTAAGCTATTTAATAAGTATTTCCAAAATGATCAGTATGATTTGTGCGTTTTCAGCCCGTTGTGGTGCGTCATCACTGGGTGCATCGGAGACGGCAAGAAGGCAAATGTAAACAATGTGGGAAGGTGAGTGTGAATTGTGATGATAATAATTCACTTCTTCTTTCAGCAGCACAGAGGCACTCACTCCTTCTTGTTCCTGTCTGTTTGAGCAGGGCTTCCAGCAGAAGTTTGCTTTCCACAGCAAAGAGATCGTGGCCATCAGCTGCTCCTGGTGCAAACAGGCTGTGAGTGGGTTTAACAATCATATTCGTTCTATTCTTCCCATCTCAATCTATACATGTATTCAACTGAATGTCTTTCTTTAGTACCACAACAAGGTGTCCTGCTTCATGCTGCAGCAAATTGAGGAAGCTTGTGCAATAGGAGCTCATGCTGCTCTTATAGTTCCACCCACATGGATCATTCGAGTCCGGCGCCATCAGGTAACTGTTGATTCTCACTTTTGTTGTTCCCCAATAACATTTTATATTTCTGTTCAATGAGTTAATCCACATCTCCTTTTCATAGCTAACATCACCCCCACCCTCCCTGAACAGTCCTCGGGGCTACATTGAAAATAATATTGATAATAACTAGTGTGTGCCCGTTCTGATGGCCGATGGCTTGTCTCCCAGTGGTGTCGGGGAGCGTGCACATTCTAAGCGCGTCGCACTGGTTCCCTCGACCAAACACCATTTTTGTCAAACCCAGGTTTTTGATACTTTTACGTGTTGTTCAGCACGATAATCTTCACCAATAATCACCACTGTTATGATTTTAGAACTGTGAATTCAATCGGTTGAAGTAAAAAGTTAGCCTTGAAACTGACCCGGCCCATGGTGAGACCAGTCCCCTGGTAAAAATCATACAGAATCCTTCCTTCAGCTGGGAGTGTGCAGTACGTACTGGTTGAGCGTGCAGTGTGCAGTACGTACTGGTTGAGCGTGCAGTGTGCAGTACGTACTGGTTGAACGTGCAGTGTGCAGTACGTACTGGTTGAGCGTGCAGTGTGCAGTACGTACTGGTTGAGCGTGCAGTGTGCAGTACGTACTGGTTGAGCGTGCAGTGTGCAGTACGTACTGGTTGAGCGTGCAGTGTGCAGTAGTAGGCAACTTCCAACACAGCCGAGTGGGGTGTGAAGACAACAGAACAGATGTTGGGAATAACATAGCCTCAAAAATGGGGGCACCAATATGTATTGGGAACGTAAAGGAGCGTGTTTGGGTTATCAGCATCTAAGAAACTAAATTCTTGACATCAATAGAATTATTAATGTCAGTAACAATTATTAATGATTATTAATAATAACAGGGCACCACCCTGCGAACAGGGACCAATAACCAAACGATAAAACTAAGTCTCATAATTAGTGTTCACTCACAATGTCAACAGTCTGAGTACTATCACACATTCAGAGTGAAAGTGAAGGTTTAAGTTCGAGCAGACCACATATACAGCTATTATCACAATACACATGCACAAAGTAATCACAGACAGCTGCTCTTTAAAATATAACAGAGTTTATTACGTTCTAATACTAATGATCTAGTCAACTAATATCTAAACTAACAACTATACATTCATGAGCACGCTATCTAAAATCAACAGACTATTGAAAAGAGGAGGGGGGAGTGTGTGTGTGTGTGTGTGTGTATGTGTGCGAAAGGGGGAGGAGCGAGGGAACAGCTCAGCGACGTATGACGTAATTGGGACGTGGTGACGTCTCTCATGCGCGAGACTCAAAAATGGCGGATAGCCAACTGGAGACCCGGCGTCTAGTGCCGGTAGCCGTTTAGAACGTAGCTAGATTAGCTCAAAGCTGTGCGTGTGTGTGTGGATTAGTAAAAGAGAAGGGAAAGGAACAAAACAAAATGAAATAAAACAAAAGATTAAGATCCTCTGCGCCGCGCGGGAGTACGGAAGATTGCTCTCTCAGCCAGGGGAGCAAGAACCGCGACTCTTTGTCTCAGCCGGCGGTTTTGACCTCCTGAACTGACGAGAAGCAACTTCGACCTCACTGCGGCTGTCTCGACACTAATCACGGTAGCATAGAATACACGGTAACTTCTACACAACACTAGCAATTTCAGGGATCGCCAGTGTCGGTGATCATAAAGCATACACCACGTTATAAAAATGAACAGTACTTTAAGCACACAAACAAGATAAAATAAACACAAATAAAACTCTCTAACTCTGCCCAGAATCTATTTCGCCTTACGGTACGATGCAATCGTGGTGATTGAGGGGGGTTCTTCTGAGCTTCGGTGGGCTCAGGCAGCGCGGCTGCGGGCCGCGGGGGGTGTTCTCTCGGTGAGAGAGAATCGCTTCATCTGGATAAGGGACGTTCGCGTCCTTATGACCGGAGCAGGCGAGGCGCTTGGTGGAGAGTGGAAGTTCTCTCTCTCTCTCTTTCTGAAGAAGTCTTGCTTCTTCACTTCTGCAGGAATACAAGGGTTCGCTTCGTGGATACGAACGAAGATAAAATAGACAGCTTTGTGAATTTGGCCAGCGAATATAAACTGTTAGACCTAGGATTTGGTTGAAAAGGGAAACAACGTTGGTGTGCTCCCTAGCTCGACAGAGGTCGAAGGGAAAAAGCATTGAGGTGGGGGTTGCAGGTAGTTTTGTAGAACAGTGGCTGAACTACAGGGGTCCTGGGGTGTCTTGGCTCTCGGCCAATTAGATTGCAGCGCTGCTTTCAGGTAACTTCAGGAATGCATAGTTTTTGGGGGAGCAAGATCGTCTTACTGGAGGTCCCGCCTCGGCATCCCTGCTCTCGTCCAATGAAAGCAGTGTGGCATTTCGGGGAGGAAACTCACACCCTAATGTGAATTTCTTCAAAGTTGGGGGGGTTTGGTGCTCATCAAACTACAATCAGGATGAAACCTTTGCTTGCAAAAGGCAAGGCCTGACTCTCTCTCTTTGTTCCACAGCACATGTCGAAGCCATATAGTCAGATCCCAACACAGAGCTGATGGCAACTATAAGATTTTAAAAACAACTTCTGTTCATGGCCATACTATAGTATAGTAGTGTAGTATAGACAATAGATAGCAATGAAAATAACTCCTCAGGGTGATGTAACAAATAGATGTGTTATGTTCATAATGGATGTGTTGATAATATGCCACACACCGTTTTCCTTCTTTATGAGATCTTCCTGTCTGCTCTCCATGGAATCAACCTCAGTGATGTGCAGCTGCTGTCTGTGCTTGTGTCTCTAACAGTCCTCTATGAAGTCAAGTAAGAAGAAGAAGAGAACGTCATTCAAGAGGAAAAGCAGCAAGAAAGGAGCAGAGGTCAGTCCTGCACTGTACTTTATACAGATCCACATGGTTATGGTACACATATTCTCCTAACAGTGGGTTTGGTTCTTTGCATTGTGTGTGACACACTTTGAACTATTTCTTCTGGACATAATTCGTTTTTATCAAAGAAAATATTCAGACAGAATGAACAAGCTCTGAGAAGATCATCATCTTCTCTGACAGGAAGGACGACAATGGAGGCCGTTTTTAATCCGACCCATCCCTGCTCCACTGATGAAACCACTGCTGGTGTTTGTCAACCCCAAGAGCGGAGGAAACCAGGTATTCATATTCAGTGAGCTGGTCACTGAAACAGTTCAGTCAAGCTACATGCTGAGCAGTTATGGTGCCACTAAACCAACCCTCAAGTCTGGAAGCCAGCTTGTTCTCCAGTGAGGGTCAAATGGAGCGTGAGATGGACGGGTAGTTTGGTGCAGCATCAGCAGTGATGAAGGCCTCAATTTACCAGTCCATCAACGTTCAGACCCTCAGCTGTGGTCATGACCTTTTGTAGTGACCAAAAGAATGAGCTTCCTTCCTAGAGAGTCTGGACTCAGCCTTAGAGATGAGGAGACCCCTTTAATTTACATTCAGTTACTTTCTAATCTTCCAATGGGTTCTCTGTCTCACAGGGTACTAAGATCCTGCAGTCCTTCATGTGGTATCTGAACCCCAGACAGGTATTTGACCTGAGCCAAGGAGGACCAAAGGAGGGGTAGGTCTCTCTGTCTGACACACGCGCACACACACACACACACACACACACACACTAACATCAGTGAACATGTACTTGTGATGTCCCATGTGTGTCGATATTGTAGCCTGGAGCTGTATCGTAAAGTCCATAACCTGAGGATCATGGCCTGTGGAGGAGATGGCACTGTGAGTAGAAACACACACACACCATCCAAGATATATTTCGAAAGAAACAGGACTAAACTAGTTTCGGGATGTGCCGATAGAAATGCAAACAAGAATTAAAATACATTTTAACTTGCTACTTTACAGCCACTATATTGTCTGTTAGTCTGTGGAATGACAGTGATTACAATATCTGTCTGATGGATATTTATTGAAGGAGGTTTGATGCCAAGAGGGCAATTTTGTAAAACAAATAATCTCCTGATATTGTCTGGAGTCGGGGAGTAGTGCATGCCCATGTGTTGGGCATGAAAGGATCTAAAAGGAGCCAGTGGTAACGTATCCATGGACACCAGAATGAATACTTATGAAGTGCGTGTTCAGCTGATGGAGCTGAGAACCTGTTCCTGTGAAAGACAGGTGGATGTAACTGCATGTCTGTGTGTGTGTGGAACCAGGTGGGCTGGATCCTGTCCTGTCTTGATGAACTTGCATTAAATCCTCAACCTCCTGTTGCCGTGTTACCACTTGGGACAGGAAATGACCTCGCCAGGACCCTCAACTGGGGAGCGGTGGGTACAAACACACACAACTAAACTGTAGGAGTGAATACAGACAGTCCAATTACATGCTGTGGGCACTCTCTTCAAATCCTGTTTTCTATTCATAAACATGTCGATATGTTTTATGTCACTCTACATGGACTCCAGGGCTATACAGACGAACCTCTGTCTAAGATCCTCTCCCATGTTGAGGATGGAACGGTTGTCCAGCTAGACAGATGGAATCTACAGGTTGAACCAAACCATGGTGCAGGGGCTGAACCGGACGAACAGCAAACTGATAAGGTTTGAAACATTCTGACTGAATGTAAAGGTGCCGAGCTGCTCCACAGCTGATCAGAGTCCATCCCACACCTTGATTCAGAACACAACGTTTACAACTTCTATAGTCAGCTGTTAGGAGTCCTCCTTTTTGATCCTGGTAGATCCTGTTTCTGAATGAATTTACTGGTGACAGCTCAGTGTCAGTGAACGGGAAATAAAATTTTCATCAATGCACATGAAAAGGAGCTAAATCTGAACCCAGGTGTGACTGTTGATCTGTTTGTGTGAATGCTCTCAGCTTCCTCTAGATGTTTTCAACAATTACTTCAGTCTTGGATTTGATGCCCATGTGACTCTTGAGTTCCACGAGTCAAGAGGTACATCCATTTTCATACACGTGTTACTACTCAATATACTGACTGTTATTATTGACACATTGATTGCTTATTTGTGGAAACTTTGCTTTTCCATTGAATTTGTCCTAATATCCATGAGATGTTTTGTTTATGTGCTGTCTCTGTCATTTCAGAAGCCAACCCAGAGAAGTTTAACAGTCGTTTTAGGAATAAGATGTTCTATGCTGGGGTGAGTGCATCTTAAATGTACATGTACATTGGCTTCTTGCATATGTAAAAGTCTTCCATAAAAGCGTATTTGACAGTTTTGATAAGTGCATGTTAAAGGTCACTGTGCTTCTGTTTAATACTCTTCACTTTTAAAGGTGCGTAACGATTGCCTCTCAACAGCTCTTAACATGTCGACAGCGAGAAGGCAACTTGTAGCTAACAGTGCTAACAGCGCTAACAGGGTTTACCTGAGGGGGAACCAGAGGTTGGATGTTACACTTCCACGACAATGTTATCGGCTGTAAGCTCCGTATGAGAGCGGTGCAGAGCGACAGCTGGGAGCTAACCAGTGGAGCACGCTCACATGCACTCACATGCACTAAAAGGCACACAAACCAAGTTCTGGCTCTGGTTCTGGCTTGGGGGAAGCTGAGTTTGTGTCACTTCCAGTAGCAGCTGTGGAGCTGGGGGGGTTGTGCTCTGCATTTGTTTGAAAGACCAGTGTGTGGCACCTTCAGTAGGTGGCGATGACTCCTTGTATTGCTGATGGCAGCCGGATTCTCAGCTTTGTGTTCATGC